GTTAAATTACATTCTCTTTTGTTCAAATTGCTTATAGCCTACTTCATGGTGACATTAAGGCCATAACGTGTTAGACAATCACAAGGAGAAAATGCTTCTCTTCTAAAATAAACCACAAGCCAAACATATATATATTTTTAAAACACTGAACAAAAATATAAACGCAATACTTTTGTTTTTGCCACCATTTCTCATGAACTGAAATCAAAGATCTAAAACTAAGTTCTCAGTGGGTCTCAAACGGTTTGGTCACCATTTATGTAAACACGTGTTTCCATTTGAGAGCGTAGTGATTAGTAAAATATGCATGAATAAAAAAGTTAACTAGGTGAAAAAAGGTAAGATACACTTTTAAAACTTGTTGAGAGCTAAAACTAGTCTTTGCTGCTGCCTCATAGAGGAGCAGGGGGGAGAGGAGGGAGACAGGAGAGGCTGATTCAGGAGCACAGACACACTCACAACTATAAATGAACCAAAAATAAATAAGTTTCAGTGTTTTTTCATATTGGATATGGTATGTTATTGGTTATGGCCATGATTTTATGATTATTGAAATGTATACAGTTCTGTTTCATAGTGGTGTTCCCATAGATCTAGTCTCTTTATTTTCCCCTCAAAGTGCACCAGATTGATGCATTTAACTCCAACATTTAAAAACAAATCTTACCGGGGGAGCATGCCCCCGGACCCCCTAGAGGATTTGAGGTCCACCCCCACTTAAAATCACATTGATAGGTTCCTAAATACATTTACCATTTTTGTTAAATAGTAACCCATGTCCATATGTTTATTTGTGGGTAGTAGATTAAGGTTAATGTTGTTGCACGTCCCAAAGGCACGGCACTTCAAGCCCCCCCAAGTACATTTCTGATCTGTGGGAAACACTGTAGCACTGCCTTGTGCTCTGTTAATATGTCTCCTTTATTTAAATGTTTAGGCCAAACTACTGCCACATATTTAGAACAAAGGTCACAATACTTGCCAGAAGCATCCGTTCATCCTTTTTATTCACAAAATCTTAATACAGTCAAAGATTATCACCATCTGCTGGACCCACTGCAGACTGCGGGGGCAAGAAACTGTTTAGTTTAACAAAAGGTCATATACAACAAAAGATAAACAATAAAGACAAATCCAATCATGTATAATTATTTATTGTAACAAAGCCACTAAACTTAATCTAATGTGAACAAAAGAAACACTTTAGGCTCCCTAGAGGATTCCACAGAACGCGTTCCCTCTCCCAACACAAAATGTCAGGTCAAGCTAAAACTTAGATCTTTAGGTTGTTTCTATATATACAAAAAAAAAAGAAGTGTCTTTCAAACCATCTGCGGTTGTCTGAAACAAGATAATTGTATTTAACAGAAGCCCAGCTTTGTTGTCAAAACCTCGCTGCCTCCCCCCCACACACCTCCCCATTAAACAAGTGTCTTACCAAGATACGCTGATATCTCAGAACATTTAGAACAGCTGTTAAGGAACAAGCAGGTGCTTTCAGTCAGTTCCATTAGAACAATAAGTCACAAAGGAAATGCAACTTCCAATAAGCCTTGGTATCCCCACCACTAGATATACTGTAATATACATTGATATGTAGAAGTGGCAAAGGATGCTATCAAGTTATCACGGCACCATGGCTTATTTTTTATTGAACCCACAACAGAAACTGATTTTCATATTTGACATAGAAATTGCTATGGTACGTATTTGAAATCTACGTAGGATGATGTGCAGAATGTTACAAAAAAGTTTGAACCTTTCGCATGTCTTTGGGTGATGTAGAGAAACAATCAAAGGGGAGACTAGAGGAGTGAATGACCACCCCCCCGGTGTATGCATTATGGACAGGCTGAGGCTGCAGAGGAAGAGAGGCTGACAACACGCAGGGAAAAACGATTTTTGCGTTGTATTTTTACAAACCCCCCCCATATTAATCCTGTGGGTTGTAGGATGATCACAGAGGGAGGAAAGAGTCTGCTGAACTGTTTAATCCTCCTCATCCTGAAAGAAAAGAAAATTCAGATCTCCGTTTTTAACAGTCGGGGTCAGGAAGTGCCAGCCATTACAGTAACAGATCACACTAAGATTTGTCTATAATCTATAATATCCTTACCTCGCCATCTTCTCCATCCTCCTCCTCATCCTCTTCACCTTCACCTTCCTCTTCTTCCCCCTCGTCGATATCTTCTAGACCCTCCTCGTCGTCGTCATCATCATCATCACCTTCCTCATCCTCCATGTCAGGGACCTTGGGAACAATGATCCATTAAACCTGGATTCCTCAGTATTAATGAGTGCAGTTTGGAGCCTGGCCCTCACTGACTCTGAAGACCAGTACAAACACCCTTAGGTGTCGAATTATCAGTCCAGATTTTCTTTTACACAACGCTCTAACTGTTACCCAACGTTTTACCAGCAGTATTTAAAATGTGAAGCAGGACATTTCAGTCGGAAAATAAACATGTCAGTGCTCTCTGGTGGAAAAACGATGGAAATGGAGAATTTCATTGCATCGTATAGAAATATATCTGTGAGCCGGTAATATCATGTTAATCAGGCACTCAAATAAATAAATAAAAAATAACACTAGTATTTTAAGATACTCAACTTAAATATACTGTAGATGGAACATGAGTTCTGATCTTTGAACAGGCTAATTTGAAGTCTCAATGCTAATATTGATCTCAAATGAAGCCAACCCAAGTACATCATACAGCACAGCTCAATATGGCACAGAACCAATGGTATATATTCTGTAAGATAAATATTGCATTTCTACTTTTTATCTCATTCATACAAGAAGAGATCAAATAGTTTTGACCAACTCAGATTAAATAAACACTGTGCAGCCTTTTGGCGTCTGACGTGCGTTCACATTTATAGATCTGGACCCCAATCTTCTTCTACCACAGGGCTGTTTCCCCGTCTACAGTTTCTCAGGAGCAGCAGCTGAGAGTGAGCCTACCAGGTAGTACTGCAGCGGGTTGGGCCAGATGTCGTCTTTGATCACCTCTCCCAGCTCGTCGGCGCCAGCGTCTGAGTGGTCTGTGAACCAGGTGAAGAAGCTCTCAGGCTCCTCGTGCTGCCGCTTCTTCCCCGCTTTGTTCGGCGTCTGCCCGCTTCGCTTCGTCAGGTCCTGAGGAGGAAGCGTGTTTGGACAAGAGGGTTAAATGAAAGAATAATAATAATAATAATAATAATAGCAGCCATTGTTACACGTGAAAGACCCAAAAACGTTAAGCAAGCCCAACATTGGGAGGACTAGATAAGGTGAATAGTCAAGTGTAGCACTAATGAACTAAAAGTTGCACCCTCTTGGTTTGTGATATTAGTGTTGTAATAGATGACAGATCATTGTATTATTTTTCACATCACACATACAATCTCAAGAAAAATGCAAACCCACCTTTCCAGCTTTCCACTTGATTTCCGTTGATTTGGAAACAGGATCCCCGCTCTCGTTGACATTAAACTCTTTGGAGAGGGCTTTGTTCTCAAAGTATGGGTTTTCATCAAAATACTGCAGGAAAGAAAACATTACCATCAGCATATGAGATGCATGACAATTAAAATGCACTAACAAAAAGTTGACGTGAAAACTTACAAAATCTATTCTATATCCAGACTTGATATCCTCGAACTCAGTGACCTCCACCCTCGACAAGTAATGAAGCGCTTCCTCGTCCTCCTCCCCCAGAAGAGCTGAAACTACAGATCAGACACTGAGCTGCTGACCACAACACTTTGTGTGCTAATCACAAACACATTTAACAGCATAGAGCAATCGTGGCCACTTGATAAACTGATGATGAGCTCTTCAGGTTAGAGACACCATATGCACACATACAGAATAATATGTACGACAAATACAAATGGTTTACCTTGTGGATGGTTGACGAATGTTGTGACCCAGAAGTTGGGGATTTTGGCTATGAGTTCTGATCGCTTCTGAAAGAACGGCTGGCGTAATTTGTTGTACTTCTGCTCGACTTTTAAAATGTCTTCGCTTGCCTGTTCATTCAGTCTGAGGAGAAAAAGACAGAAAACTGTAAGAAATCCTTCTCCATGCAACAATATGTCTTTACTCTAAATAAACTAAAGTATAACTCACCTGTCAATTTCATTCTGTACTTCGTCAATGTGTTCAATTGCTTCCTGTTGCTCTTTTTCTGAAAAGAAAAGAAAAACTATTTGAAACTTCAAGTGTGAGGAATGTCTTCTAAAATTAGCACAATTTACCCTCCAAATATGTAGAAAAAAACTGCAAAAAGAAAAACCAATGGTAATAAAAGGCTGGTAAAATTAGAACTTGACTTTGGTTCATTTTAAGCATCTGAGCACTGTGAAAAGCTATAGATACATTTAGAATGTTATAATGAATTTGCACATTGGTTAAGTAAATCATTAACAAGCGCATTGTGGTATAACATTGTATAAAAGTAATAATTTACATTTTAATATATCCTGCTCAGCAAATATCTTGTTCACAAAGGTTAAAATAGAACAATATCAGATTTTACAACCGTCAAATATCTCGGTCTGGATATGCGCTTTTCTGGCAAACAAAAGGACATAAAAATTGTCCCTATTTGGGATAAATAAAAAACTAGTCTGTTCAATAAAAAAGGATTAGATACTTCACAATCTTTCCCACAGAGCAAAAATCACTAGCTATTTAATATGGTTAATTGAAATCAAGACTTTATAGCCTAATTTTACAGAAAATGTTGCCCGGAACTGACAAGATTCAAATGTTTAATGTCATAAGATACACAACTACATTCAATTCCTGCTAAAACCGTTACCTAAGCCATTAATCAGAATGTTGGAAATTATAGTTTCATTTTTCTCAACGTTAAGCTTAACTTGTTATTTCACCGGTGTCACGTAGAATACATCTGAATATCATTTCGAAGTATATTTCGTTGATTTTAGTAACGCAATGAGCCTGATTTACGCCAGGCGTGTTGTGTAGCTTCCTGTTGCTTCTAAAGGCGGCCCGGTTTGAATGAGCGGTTTAGCGACATCTCGATACAAAATGCTATCTTCATGTCTCCGATGTTATCATTCTGCAGTGTCCACTAAGCTTCTTTACTACAGTTCTCCACGTGTTAGCATGGGTCTCGACCACAGAGAAAGAGGTTTGAGCTTTGGAAGGAAAACGTCGCACTTGTTTACATTTTGCACATCTACTCGTGCACACAAAGCCAGACTCACAAGCATGGTCTGTTAACTGAATAGCTCATAACGCTGGCAGTGTCCGGCCTTTCTTGACCGGTGGAAACGTGATAACGGAACGGTATGGAGATTGTTGAAGTTGCTAATAGTGTGGGGGAAACACTCGTGCATCACAACTTTAACGTTAAGAGGAGCCGCGTAGATGCACACGATTACATCAGTTACGTCCTTACAACAGACCTGCACACAGTCTAGCTATATTAACAATTACTGCACATTACGCTTAAAGCTATGCAAATACGGACCATCTTCGTGTGAAGTAGCCCATGTAAGCTAATGGCTAGCTAACCTCTCATGCTGGCTAAATAGTTAGCGTGTGCTATCATGCTACATTACTGCACAGAGCTGCACGCCACTATTTAGCCCCCAAGGAGTAAGGTTAAATTCAACATAAGGTACGTTAAGCTCTTCCTCTGTAAACAAGCATTATTCGAAAAAACATAACACATTACACACAAAATAACAACATGACGATAAACAAATGAAAATGGCGTTGAACAGGATAACCGCCATTCCTTAACGTTACCAGAGGTCTCCTCTGCTCCGTCGTGATTTGAATTCTCCTTTCTGTTGACTTTCGCCGTTGAGGCCGACATGGTTATCGTTTGCCGTGAGACTTTTAACCAGATATATATTCCGGGTTGTTTAAAGCTCTTCTCTGGAGGATAAAAGTTACTTCCACCTTACACACAGTGCGTGTCTTGAAGCCTACGATAAGGAGGAATGAGCTCAGCTCCGCACGCTTGTTTCCCTCTGCGCTGCTCGGTCTGTGAACATGTGTGGTGCTCTACTGCTCCCGGCTGGCTGGAGTGCGACAATGCAACTTCTTCTTCTTTTTATTTAATGGCGGGTGCCACAAGGACGATGCATTACCACCATTTATTATGCTGGAGTGTGGCTCACAAATCATGGGAAACCAGCGAGCTACAAGGAAAAAGGGGAGGGGATTTTTGTATACATTAAATAATCAAAAAGCAATAAAAATTCAATAAAAATGTCTTCACCCAGTTAGGAACTGTTAGAAATTTAAAATCAATGTTTTGATGGTATAATGTAGTTTAAACATACTGTCAAGTTAAATGCTCTTTTATACTGAAAAAACAGAAATTCTTGTGCACAAGCAGTTAAGCTTTTATTCTGAAAATCCTTCATCTACGGTTAGCATTTAGCATGTGGCTAATATACGATTTCCTAAAGAGGTGAATTGAGTAGCGAAAAAACGTGGTGTGGTGAAAACCGAAACCTACTGATTTAACACTACAACTATAGATGTCGAGATACTACCATGCTGAATATTAAATGAAAGTACAGTTTATTTGAATACACTATTGTTTACAGACGAGAGTAGCATGTGACAACATCCGGAATGACCGGAAACCAAACCAGCCGTGAAGCATTTTCTGTATGTTTTAGAGTATTGATTATAGCGTTTAGAATGTCTTACATAAAAAGTGATGAAAGAGAATATGAGGAGAAAAGGCGTGTTAAGCATATGTTGAAGGTGAAAAGTACCAATCCTCTGTTTAAATGCAACAACGGACATTAGAGGCGAGGCGAGCCGGCTGGCGGGGAGGAGCCAGCAGAGGATATAGAGAGGCGAAGTCACGCCCATCTACTTCCGGTCCATGGGACCCCGGAGGCGAAAAATTATACATTGAATTCAATGGAGAGAGAAGACGTATCTTTTG